TTCTGGCAGTTCCTCAGCTGTGATCTGTATAGCACATGTCTCTCTTCAAGTGATATGAACTCTACATGAGGGAGTCTTTGGCAGAACATAGACTCACAGAATAGTTTGAGCTGGAAGGAACCTTTAAAGACCCTCTAGTCCAACACCCTGCAATAAGTAGGGACATCTGTACCTAGATCAAGTTGCCCAGAGCCCAGATCAGCTTTTCCTTGAATGTAGCCAGTGATGGGGCATCCACCTCTCAGCAGCCTGTGCCACCTTTCCTTGCTGTGACAATTAAGGCCCACAGTAATATTGTGAGGTCCCACAGTGACCTCCCCACTGAACACAGTGACACCAGTGACCAATGAAGTCTTTAGGACAACAAAAGCAATAAAATGAAACCTGCTCCTGCTTCGAGACACAAATGTTACATTGCAGCATTCACACTTGGTAACACTTCAGTATCTAAATAAAATCTTTACTGAACAGTTCATCATCACTAAAAGCTTTAGAAAAGTCACTCTGTCAGGCTGAAACAGAGAGTGGGATGGTAAAGCAAAAAAAGCCAGATACTTAATCATCATTATTATTTCAAAGCAAGTTCTAAAGTGTTTGAGAATCAGACAGTGGAATTAAACCCAACAGTAAAAGGATTTAATAGTATTAGACTTATAAAGTGGAACAGAGTAGCATTCAAAAACCATACAAATCTATACATAGGGTTTGTCTCACACATATCCAAGCAGGCTCTGTGTCTCATCTGTTACCCTGTGTCTGTCAAATATACTATTAGTTCAAGAAACCCAGATTTTCAGTTTTCAAAATCAAACTGAGGAGAGTTTCAACTATATTTGAACAAATTTCACATGCATTTCTGTGATGAAGTATTGAGTTAAAACTTCCAGGCTTGGTTTGTTTTGTTTTGTTTTGTTGTGGTTTTTTGGTTTTTTTTTTTTGGTTTTTTTTTTTTAGTTTTTGAATTTAGAATCATATAATCATAGAACCATCAAGGCTGGAGGAGACCTCTAAGATCATCGAGTCCAACCATTAACCTGTCACTGCTGTGACCCCTAAACACTAAACCATATCCTCCAGGATCAGATCCAGACACCTCTTAAACACTTCCAGGGATGGTGACTCCACCACCTCCCTGGGCAATATTCCAGTGCCTGAACACCCTGACAGGGAAAAAAGTTTTCCTAACATTTAATCTGAATCTCATTTCCCCCCACACTGTGAATAAACAAGGTGCCTGAACGACAGGGAAAAAAG